CAAGGGGCAACACTGAGGTGCCAGGCTGTGAATGAGATCAAGCAAAACTTCGGGTCCTGACCCACTTGGCCTTCATTTGCTCACTCCGGGAGCACTCTCGGAGGGCCTGCGTGTGGCTCCTCTGGTTTAGGCACCAGGCTGGGCGCTGGGAACATGTGAACACACACCTGGTCCCTTTCCTCGGGGAGAGAGGTCACAAACCAGTAACAGATAAACAGCCACGTGCCAGGGCTCTGAAGGGCCGGGGAGGGGCACGAAGGCGGAGGGGCTGCTCAGAGTGTCCTCGGGACTCATGCACCGCCTGAGACTGGAAGGAGAGAAGGAGTGAGCCATGCCAGGGTGCAGAGGCAGCAGCCCCACGAGGGCTGCAGAAAGCAGCACCAGTACCTGCTCCCAGATCTGGAACCGGCTGCCAGGCTGGGAGGGGCGCTTCGGAGGGGGCAGGTGAGGGGACTGGGCCTGATCTCCTCGGCCTGTGGCCATGGGCACATGGGCAGGATCTGAATTGTCATGCTGAGAACAAGGAATAAGCACAAAAGGGGTTTAGGCAGTGTGAACATCGTGGCCAGGGTTACTCTTCTGAACTAGGGGACTTAACGGGTGGGTCAGATGTCAGAGTGGAGGAAAGAGGAGACTCTCAGGCCACTTCCAGCTGCCCCTGCCCAGTGGCTTCGTGGGAACTGGGACACGGCCCCCTTCTTCCAGAGGATGCAGTGCCAGGAACATCCTTCCAGCCACACAACAGCACACAGTGCCACCTGCAAGACCCTCGCTCAGAGCCCCCGAGAAGAGAGACCCCCAGGTTTCTGCTTGGGCAACTTCAGCCGGGCAAATCTTGCAGGTGCCTGTGGGAATCCAAGCGGAGCCCTGGGCTCTGCCCAAGGTTTGGGGACCATTTCAACACAGTGATTCTGTACGGGGAGGTTCCTTCCCGCCCTGCCCAGGCACCGGCCTTTTTACAGGGCTCACTGTTTTGTACGCAATTCGCCTTGTGAAGAAAAGCAATTTTTAAAACCCTGGAAGCCATCAGTTTCTAGGTGCAAGACCATTTAGTGCTTAAATAAATGCAAGTTCTAGAAGTCTGCAGCCGAAGCGAAAGTAAATAATGACAGAATGTGAGTGTGAGTTATGACTGCTCGGCCTAGTGGTTTGCAAAGCTCGTAAACAAAGCGTCCTCCCAAATTGAGAGCCGGGGCCTGGGAGTTGGGTACCAATTAATCAGCCTCCAACTGTGTAACACACAAAAGGACACATGTCCTCGCTAGCAGAGCCACGAGGGGGAATCTAGCTCACCGACTGTCACTCTATTATTTGAGTTCACCTGAGACTGAAAGAAAAAGCCTGTGTCCAGAAGAACAGAGTGCTCACTTGTGCTTCTTGACAGAAATCAGTTCACTGCCAGTGTCAACATGAAGCTTAACATCCCGGTGTTTAGGGAAAAGGCAAACCAAGCCAGCTGCACACTTACAAGATGAGTTCCACCAGCCACCCCATCGGACACCCCAGGCCTGGGCTTCCCGGGGCCTGTCCAGGCAGAGGATGGACCCACAAAGGAGCTGGGTCAGGGGACAGGAGGTTTGGCTCCAGCCTGAGACCCTGCCACTCACAAGCACATGCTCACGCGAGTTATGTCATTCGTGTTGGTGTTCCCATCTCTACAACGGGAGGAAGGGCTGCTCCCATATTTTGTGAGGCTTGCGTATGCAGCGATGGGAAAGGAAGATGCTCTGCGAGGGTGAGGCGATTCCCATCACACCCCAGAGGGGGGTTCTGCAGTTGAGAAGGCAGGGCAGTGCGGGCAGGGAACAAACCACAACTTACTCTCAGAAAGCCGGGCAGGTCAGCAAAGTGGATGTGGAGGTATAATTAATGACTGCAAAGTCACGGAGGACAAGGTCACCTAGGCTGTACTCTCTGCTTACATGAGAACTGGAGATCAGGGCACAAACTATGGAGCTGGCAGATAACATAAATATGTGACTGGCCTGCTATATATAGGCAATAGGGAATGGTGGGGCCTGTGGCCAACCGGAGATTACACTCACGCTCCGTGTAAGGTATTTGCAGTGAAAGATTTAAAACATATGCCCCATCAAATGCAACAAAATGCATCTAAGGCCTGCAGGCTAACAGTCTGAGGCCCCTACAGACTGTTTGTATTAAGCGTGTCATTTTATTTTGATGCTTTGGCATCTGGGGCCTTGTTGATACAGGAGGGACTGCCCCTACTAAGGTAGCTAATTCCTAAAGATAGTAAACAACTGGTGTGCACTTTTCCTATGCAAACCCACCGATCCAGAGCATATAATCCAGATGCATTCTGGGCTGCTATCTACCTGCCCCAATCACCCCAGAGCCAGGTACCAGACATCCAGGGACAGTCCCTAAACCCCACAGCCTGCTGAAAGTATTCAAACTAGCCAACCCTAAGCCTGCTCACTGTTTGCCTTTCCCAAGGAAACCACAATAAAAGTTCCTGCCCACATTCTCCCCTTGTGCTGCCTCCTGACCCTGCATGATGTCGTGTGGCCCCCTGCATGGGACTGTGAGTGACAAACTGCCTTCCCAGGGGCAGTTGTCTCTTGGCCTGTCGGCCTCACTCGGCCCACATAATAATAAAACCTATGTTCTAATAAACCTGTAAACGCCACGGGAGCACGGGTCGTCACGGCTGCATTGCTCCTCCCTGTGATTCTTGGCACCTAACATGATCCCTTGCACATGGCAGACACGATTTAAATGGCAATTAACGCACAGATGGATGGATGGACAGTGGACAGCGGACAGAGGGATGAAAGCCAAGGGCAGGGTGGAAGCACCTATTTGGCTACATGGATTTCCTGCACGTCAGTCTCAACATTGCAACCGCCACAGGAAACTAAATTCTGTGTCTGTCTCGGCTCTGTGACTGGCGTGGATGTCGGGGGCTGCAGGCGAGAGGAAGCGGCACTGGCAGGAGTCAGCCACGGTTAACCTGCGGCTCACCGGCCCCCTTGCACTCGGCTTTTCAGGTCACTCAAGTGAAAAGAAGGCTTTTCTTTCAGTGGGGCAATTTTCTAGCTAAATCTGGCTGTTTTGTTTTCTTTTTTTTTCTTTTTTCTTTTGAGATAGAGTCTCACTCTGTCACCCTGGGTAGAGTGCAGTGGTGTCAGCATGGCTCACTGCAACCTCAAACTCCTGGGCTTAAGCAATCCTCCCACCTTGGCCTCCCAAGTAGCTGGGACTACAGGTGTGCGCCATGATGCCCAGCTAATTTTTCTATTTTTAGTTGAGATGGGGCCTCACTCTTACTCAGGCCGGTCTGGAACTCCAGCAGTGAACAGCTCCCCAAAGGCCATCCCTTCCCCAGGCCCAGGACGGAAGGACAGGAGGCATTCGACCACGGTGCACGGACAAGGAGGCTAGGGACGCCAGGGGACTGCCCGAGAGCTCACCGCAGGGGAGGCCGTCAGTAGAGTGACTTTGCAAACTGGTTTACCCAGAACAGAACCAGTTTATGGCTTATAACAGGCATCGTCCCACTGTTATTATTAAACTCACCTCCTCTCTCTCAAAAACGTCTTGGTTTGATAAGTCATACCATCGCCCTCAACATCAGGGATTTTGCAGATGGGAGAGTCTGAGTTGGGAGGCTAACAACCAACAGAGGCTGGTCACTTTGTGTGCACAAACAGCAGCTCAAGGCCCAGCACCCAGCCCTGTGGACGGCAGGGACAAGCAGCCAAAGGGAGCAGAGCCCGACCTTGGCCCTGGGGGACTCCGCTCTAAACGAGGGATTACCTGGGCGGGCGAGGGCAGCCTGGCCCCGTGTCCCTCAGCCACGGCCTCCCACCCAAGAGGAGGCTCCACGGCCGCATTTCTTTCCCCTTGTTGAAGTCTCAGCCAGAGTTAACAAGTCCAGCTCAGGGTCGGAGCAGAGAGGAAGGGGCTAGCATTTGTCCCCAGATGGGCTTTGGGAGAAGGGACCACCCCACCAGCCTCATCCTCGGCCACGCCTTGTGCTACCGCCCTGCTCAATGCCACCTCGTGCTGCCATGGGGACCCTGAACAATTTCCCATTTGTCTTTTTCTTCCTGCCTGGTTGAGATCTTGTTGCTGTCGAGATGAACTATTTATCTGTGTTGCATGAAATGTCATGGACTTGGGCAAAAGCAGGACCCACCCACATGCAGGGAATACTAACCCTTTGAAGACACACACAAGCTCCCTGAAGCTTTGGAGGCTGCCGGGGAATGACTGCCCTTCTCCAGCACTGAACTTGCTCTCGAGAAGCACTGAACCCAAAAGGCGACGACAGGCGACACCCCCGGCAGCCCGAGTTTGCTCGAGTCAATCTGCCAAATGAATCTGTGGATACGCGCAACCACTCAGCCAAGGTGGGGCGAGGACTTACGAGGTAAAAGGTGGCTACATGTTTCACCTTGTGGCCTCACATGAAGTTTAATCAAGCCATAAAACGCTCAAAGTGTCCAGTGTTGAAGGCATCTCTGCGCTGTGAACTAAAACTTCAAAGCTATTTGTTTTTATGTGAGATGAGCCATCATGCAAAGCTTACTGGTGAAGCCGTTAATAAAATACACAGACCCATTGAAGGGTTTCGTACATTTCAGTCCTGGCACATAAGAAAGCATTTATAAACCCTGCACAGTCCTGGTAGGTTCCTTTGCTTCTTAAAGCTGCCAGTCCTGGCTCTTTGGGGGCTCATGTGTTATAAATTCTGGAAGCTCTTTTATTTATTTTGTTTATTTATTTATTTTTTTGAGACAAAGTCTCGCTCTGTTGCCTGGGCTAGAGTGCCGTGGCGTCAGCCTAGCTCACAGCAACCTCCAACTCCTGGGCTCAAGCGATCCTCCTGCCTCAGCCTCCCCAATAGCCGGGACTACAGGCATGAGCCACCATGCCTGGCTAATTTGTTTTCTGGGTTTTTTTTTAGTTGATCAGCTAATTTTTTCTATTTTTAGTAGCGATAGGGTCTCGCCACTCTTGCTCAGGCTGGTCTCGAACTCCTGACCTCAAGCGATCCTCTGCCTTGGCCTCCCAAAGTGCAAGCTTTATAGGCGTGAGCCACCGTGCCCGGACCTGGAAGCTCTTTTAGCTGCAGTTTGTGTGTCGGGCAGGTCTTCTTCCTCTTCCTCGGTTCGCTTGTGTTTTAAAAACAAGTCAGATTTTAAGAAGCGGGTGTAGCTGTCGTACTTCATGAGATTGAAGATCTAAAGAGGAAAAGAAAAAGAGGATGAAGGCTGAGGCTAATCCAGGCCATGAATCATCCTATCAAATATTAAGTACCTACTGTGTGCCAAAGTATACAAATACGTACAAAGAAAGCCATAAGTCAGTCATGAGCTAGGCAAGACAGATTTCCTGGATGTTTGGGGTTATTAGCAGGAATCTCAATGGAATAGTTTAGAGAGTCCCAGGAACAACACATATGTTTATTTTCCACGGAAGTATAGATCCGCACGGCACTGATTCATACCCTCTCTTCCAGGGGTGCTTTAAGACGCTCCACTTTATTTGGACAGATAACACAAAGACTCACTTCTCCAGGAGCTCGGGACAGCAGAACAGAAACTGTCTGCAGACGGTGTGAAAAGATCCACGTCGTGACGCATGATGCCAACATTGTCACGACCTCCCGTTCGTCTGGCATCCAAGATCTCAAACAAACCAGTCATGTGCCAAGGATCAAAATGAGGCTTATTCAACGCACGGCAGGGGAGGGAAACCAGTCTTAGCAAAGAGAGGATCAGGAACAAGTCCCAGCGAAAGGGAGCGGCAGGCGGCGGCAGAATGCACCTCTGCAATCAGACAGGCTGAGGAGCAGAGAGAAACCATTCTAAGGTGCGACAAGCAGGTGGGGAGGACCCCTGACCGAGGCAAGTCCTCTGGATTGGAGGGCTGCCCCCGCAGGGACGGCAGGTACTCAAAGGGCTGTCCCCAGGCACAGATGCCTCCTCAGGCCTCCACGGGACCTCCCTTCTGGGCCTCCGTCCGTCCCCAGCGACCCTCTCTACCCCAGGCGTCCTCAAACTACGGCCCGAGGGCCACATGCGGGTGTTTTTGCCCATTTGTATTTTTACTTCAAAATCAGATAGGTGCAGTGTGCATAGGAATTTGTTCATAGTTTTTTTTTAAAACTATAGTCTAGCCCTCTAACGGTCTGAGGGACAGTGAACTGGCCGCCTGTTTAAAAAGTTTGAGGACCCCTGCTCTACCCTATTCCCGCCCAAACCTGCGCCACCCGCCCTCCACCCTCCTCCCTCACCCCACGCAAGGGCAGGGGAAGGAGAGGCAAAGAGCGTTTTCCAGCTGTCAAGGGGCACCATCTCCTCCATGACCTTTTGACTTGACTTTCAGGACGCTCTGCAGACTAAAACTCTACGTGGTGCATGCACCTGGTACCTTCACTCACGGCATTGGCACAGGCCATACCAAGCGGAAAGTTCCAGTGGTGTCTAGAATGCCACTTGCTGCCAGGCGGGGCTGTCGAGTGGGTGGTAAAACCCTGACATCGTTTAAGCCCTCCCTCTGCCAACACATGCGCGAACTATTTTGTAAGTTAAACATCTGATGGATTCCAAGGACTCTGCTTGGAGGATGGGAGGTGCCTCAGAAGGGGGGCGGGGCAGGATAGGGCAGGAGTCGCGTAGAGGGGGTGCTGGGGACAGAGGCGGAGGCCTTCACACCTTCATTTTCTCAAGATGGCTTCAACCACAGCAGAACCGCCACAGGCATTTTGCTACACGCAGAGTCCACAACTCAAGGAAAGACTTAGGACTTTGGCTTTTCTATTAACTATTAAACTAGCGCCTGCCCGTCCCCTGGCACCCTGCCAGCCTTGCCCAAGCCCATTAGCTGCTCAGAGAGACCCTGTCCCCTTAAGACCCCATCCTGTATCTCTCTAGAGCACTTATCTATTTTGTAGCAATCTTGTAATCCTAGCTGCGATTGCAATTTGCTGAGGTTTGGAGGGGGAGAAAATTTTTTTTAATCCCATAAAACACAAAAATCATAGCCAGGGATGGGGCAGGGGGCGAGGGACGCCATTATCCTTTTGTGGCCTCCCACCAGCACGCTGAGCAGGCGTGGTCATCCCTCCCCACCTGCAGCATTCAGCCCTCCAGGCGCAAGAGCCCCCAAAGGGAACCTCTAGATGCCCACCTAGTCCAACCTCCGGAACGGACGCTCCCGGTGTGACTAATGAAACCGGCCTCACGAGGGCCCCTCCCGGCACCCAGCCCCGTGCCCACTCCTCCCACCCCAGGTCCACGGCAGGGGGGACCCTCCGCTCCGAGCAGGATGCGGTACGACCCAGGCGTGTCGCGTGAGGTCTCCACGTGTGGGAGAGGAACATCCTGTTTGCCGGTCGTGGCGCTGAGGCTCAGACTTCAAAGGGGAGAAGAAGAAGACTGGCTGGAGGCACCCAGGGCAGGGGAGGAGGGCAGGAAGGCGGCTGCTTCGGGTGGGAGGACGGCTCGGGTCGGGTCCGCAGGGGTGCTGAGAAGAGGGTGCGGGCTGTCCTTCCCACTCTGCCCACCCAGCCAGCTGGAGGGCAGGGGCTGGGAACTATTTAGCAAGGGCACACATGGCCATGCCCTGCGTGGCAGGTGTGAAATGCCCGGGACTGCTGCAGAAGTCCTTCAGGCTGGGGCTTCCTCCTCCAGGAGCCCTTCAGAGTCACCCGGAAGCAGCTGCGGTCACCAGACCCAGGCAGAGATGAAGGAGGAAAGGATGTCACCCCCTGGCCTCGTCCCCCTGGGCCGTGAGGAGCCGATCGCTCTACACAGGGTGCACAGGGCTGGCTTCCCGCTGCCACCAGCACAGGGCCTGGCCTAGAAGCACACGGCAATGGGCTGCTCCCATGACAGAGCCCTCTGGGAATGGCGCGCAGCAAAGATGGCTCAGAGGGTGGAGAACGCACCTAAAAACCTCTTCCGAGCAAGCGGCCAAAGATGGTGCACCCAGCTCCTGGCAAGTCATTTGCCAAAGGATAAAAGGCCACCACTGTGGCCCAACAAAAGTTTGCCAAGTGGGTGAACAGAACACGCCCTGCACAACAGCAGAGGGCTGGGGAAATGACCCGGGGTCGCGCCAATCAGCTGACAACACCTTCTGCCCCACGCTGACCACTGGATCCTCCCGTCTGGGTCTCTCACTCAGTCCTGACCGCAGCCCTGCAAGGACCCTGGTTCTGCAGAGGAAACAGGAGCTCAGAGGTGCAGTTTCCCCACAGTTCTGGGGGTCAAGGTGCCATCGGGGCTGGTTTCTTCTAAGGCGTGTAGACTGGTTTCTCTCCATGGCGTGTAGACGGCTGTCTCCTCCCTGAGTCCTCACGCGGGCTCCCCCAGGCATGTGTGTCCCCATCTCCTCTTCTTACAAGGACGCCAGTCAGACCGGATTAGCGCCCACCCCAAAGACCTCAGTAAACGTTCATGACCCCTTTAAAGACCCTGTTGCCACATAAGGTCACAGTCTGAGGCGCTGGGGGTTAGGACCTCAACATGTGCATTTGGGGGACTGTGGGGGACAGTTCAGTCCATACAAGTGAGCAAGAGACAGGTGGGTGGAAGGCTCTGGAGCCCAGACTCCTAACCCCTGGGCTCTCCTGCCACTCAGACGGCCACCCAGTGCGCCATCATTACAAACCAGGTCTGCAAAGAGAGTTTAACACAGAAAACTGTCCATACATGTGACGTGACTAATACTCAATTTTAAAAATACACCAAAACTAAAAACAGGGATCCCAACTGTGTTCTTTAAAAGCGTGTTTGTGCACATAAATGGAAACTAAATATCCCCAAAGGTCGGTGCTGGTTTGAATAGTGTCCCCGCAAAACTTATATCCACCTGGAACCTCAGAATGTGACCCTACTGGGAAATAGGGTTGGTTCAGGACCTCAAGATGAAATCACCCGCCTTTAGCCACCCTAAAGCTCTGCCTCTGCACGGCCTCCTCCCTCCTGTGCCTGGCATTGTAAACGCCAGGCACAGGAGGGGGGAGGCCGTGCAGAGGCAGAGCTGGGGGGGTGGGGCAGCTGCAAACCAAGGACCGGGGAGGACCGCCGGCAGCCACCAGCCGTCCGGAGGCTGAGAAGAGGGGAGCGAGGATGCTCCCCTGGAGCCTTCAGAGGGAGCACGGCCCTGGCAACACCTTGCTTTCAGATTTCTCACCGCCTGACCAGCGAGACAGTAAGTTTCTCCTGCTTTAGGCCACTTGAGTTGTGGTCATTTGCTACGACAGCACCAGGAAATGAACGCGGTTGGCTTATGGGTCTCCATTCGCCCCTGCTCCGCACAGGAGCTGAGCTGACCCCAGGGGTCCCAGACGGCTCTACAAGCACAGACTCCCCGCTGGGGAGAACCGGCCTCCCGGTTCTGTGGGGAGGAGAACGCCTTCAGTGTCTGCGGGGAAGAGAAAGAAGCAAATGCCGAGGTCTGGGGCAGGAGAAGGCTCGAGGTGGGTGGAAGGCGTCGGAGCAGAGCCAAGGCAGATCCTCCCTCATCCCGAGGGACGGATGGGCCACTGCCGAGGCGGAAAGCAGCTGGCAGCTGAACCACATTCTGCATTTTTTTTTCCTGTGGCCAAGACAGCTGTGGCTTAGCGAGGTTTCGGGTTTGGGCAGCCCCCACATCTGCGAGCTGCACGCCTGGACTGTAAACTGTTTAGCGCCGTTGCCTGGGGACCCGATCCTGCAGGCTGCTGGAGGTGGGGCTGGGAGGAAAGCGGGGAGGACCCGTCCCGCAGCTGTGCAACGCTGCACGGTGTCCTGTGACGCAAGGTCATCACACCGCCAAGGTGCCTGTCCCTCTCCAGACCCCAGACCGTGCAGTGACCAATTAGGATCTGCCTTCCTGCACAGAAAAATATCCAACTTCAGACGGGTCAAACTTTGCAGCCACAGGAAAGGGCTTCCTCACTGAGCACACTCGCCCGTGTGGACAGTGAGCAGCTGCACTAGCCTCGCAGGCCCCTGCGTGAACATTTTGGCACTGTCTTGATTCACTGCATTTCAAGCCTGATAATCACTTTAATAATACTTCCCAGAAGACAAGTGCCGTCGAAGACCTAAACAAAGCGTGCATCCTCTCTTCTCAAAACCCTCTGCTGAGTTATTTTGATCAGCTACAAGGAGAAAAAAATAATCCTCTAAGGCAGTGAAAATTGTACTGATGGGATTTCATATTTGCTTCAAGAACTTGGGTTAGTCTCCATATGAAAGTTGCTGAAATGCAGCTGAGTTAGACCCTAAAGGAGACGAAAAAAGTAAAAAAGAAAAAAACAAAGAAAGTTGCTGAAAGAAGGCAGCATGTGTCTGGGCTCCAGCTCTAGAACGTGCTCTCTCCCCCCAGGTACCTGGACCACACAGACATGCTTTTGTACCCACATGAAAAGGCAGAAATGGGAATAAAAGAAGCTCCCGTCCCTCCAGCCCCAGAGTTGGCCAGGCATGGAAGACACAGGGGTGTGCCCACACCCTAAGTGACAGCCACCTCCCCTTCCTCTCTAGAAGGAAAGGGGTGTTCCCAGGAGAGCGTCTGAGGCCGGCTGGCAGAGAGCAGGTGAGAAGACACGCAAGTCAGCCCTTGCCCCAAAGCACCAGGGAGGGCCACCAGAAGGCTCTGGCACCCTGGACAGCACTCCTGCTCTGTAGACAGGCCAGCCAGAGATGGAGGATATGCCGGAGTGGGATCAGAACTCCCGAAGGAGGCTGGACACAGAGCCAGAGATACCCTGCCTGGGGCAAAGCCCCCTCACAGGCTCGGGGGTCCAGTGCTGTCGTGCACGTGGGGCCGTTTGCCCACTTCTTCCTGGAGCCCGTAACACTCAGATTCTAGACTCGAGTGGCACAGCATGCTTGCTGCTTGGAGAGAAGGCATTTTATTTTTGCCTTTTGCCATCAGAAGGGCAGTTAAGTGCTCTTCTGGGATTTGCTCTCTCCTCTTCTTCCCCACTTTAAAGTTGTAAAGGAAAATCTCTAAGTATTTGCAACGCTATAACGTGTGCCCCGCCCCTCATGCGGCAGACAGCTAGGGTAGACACGAAGAGCCAACTCTCCTTCCATCAGTACAAAACACCACAACCTGCCTCTTCTAGCTTAGCATGCTGGAAAACACCCGTTTCTGGCCCGAGTTTGATCTTTTGGAGCAAATGTCAGCTGGGCCCATAAGATGAGGTGTCCTAAGTCCCTGGCTCTTGTCACCACCATGGCCCAGGAGAGGGGACTGTGGCCGGGGAGGGGAGCTCAGGCCACACTTGGGAAATAAAGGGAAATGAGGGGCTGAGGCTGGGAACAGACCCCCAAATGACCCCTGGAGGCTGGCAGCCCTGCCCCCACCCCTGTCCTCACCAGCTGGTCCACCCCTTCTTTTGTGTGTCAGGAAAGGAAGCGTTTCTCACCTCTTGGCTTCTGGAGAAATTCAAAGAAACTACACTGCTAAAAAGGGGGCCCTATTTATGGTTCCTCTCTCTGTCAAGGATGTGGCTGGGAACACTGACATCTCACGGAAATCTTTAAAAAATGTGTTTAAGCACCAGAGGTTGAGGACTTCCTTTCGAATGGTGGAAGCCGCCTCCACACTGCCCTTTCCAGACTAGACTCAGCACCAGCCTGGTGAGGGCAGCCCGGCGGCTCCGAAATCTGCTTTCGCCGTAGGCTCTGGGACCCCTGAAGTTCACAGAAGGATGAGCACCCCCGTCCCCACACCCGCACCTTCTCTTACACTCTCGAGAAAGCAATGACCTAGAGCTGCCAGGTGCGATGATCCAGCCTTTCTGTCGCACAAATCTCACGGCCGTCCCAGACCACGCCGCACCGTGTAATTTAAACCAGGGGCTTCGGAGCAAGCAAGGTGAGCGCATGGGTGCTGAGAAACTGGTCGGAGCAGAAGTTTGTCTTAAATCTTCCGTATGGCACAACTCCGAGTCACTGGGCAGGCTGCCCAGTGTCCCGTTCTTAACCATCCTGGGTAGAATCCGAAATGACCAATGACATAACAGATTTCCCACCAGGGAGGGAGAGAGGAGAGGCAGGACCTGGGGGGTTTTAACTTTTCACTTCATACCTTCATACGTGAATTTTCTTTTTCTCCACAAGGAACATGTACTCATTCAACAATTTTCACTAATTTTAAAAATTAACTTGTACAGAATGCTGCACGACACAACAACAGGCCAAAGCCCGCGTGCGCTTACGGCTCACGCTGGCAGAGCTGAATCCCGTGCTGGCTCCGTCTGGGGAGTTTCCAGCCACGTGGGTTGGCAGGACACGCGTGTTCAAAGGACACACTGGCAGGCCCAGCACAGACTGATGTTGTCATTTCTTTTTCAAAGGAGAGCGTGTTTGCTCCTGTGACTCACTGGACCTCCTCGTGGTCTGGCTGGCTCGCGGTGTCTGAGTAACGACGGATGGGAACGCTCTGGGATCAGCCAGGGCTAGAGGTGCGGACAGCACGCGGAGCGAGGGACAGGAACGTGGCAGAGAGGATGGGGAGAGCGTCGGTTGTTAGGCCAAGGCCAACGCTGCCCGTCCCAGCTCCCATGACAGGAAAATGGCAGCATGGACTAGGGGTGAGAGGTGATCGCTCAAAGGTGAGCAACTGTGTTTCCAAATGCTACTGCTTCAACGGCTCTCTTCGGGTGCAGGTTTGGCAGGAAGGGCCCGGCTGAACCAGACGCCCTGGGCTCAAGTTCTGTCCGCACCCCGCCTCCCCACTGTGCGACCTCGGGCTGGTGACAGGGCTACTCCTACGAGCGGACTCTCATCCGTATGCAGGGGCGCTAGGTCCACCTCCCACAAAACTACTCGAGAGTCTAATGAGATGCCAGGAAAACGTTATCGAGTGAACTGAAAACTTACTGCTCTCCCTGAACTCGCTAAATTGTAGAAAACTGACAGATGCGTCATTTGCTGCTTCTCAGGTGGGGACCCGCAGCTCCGTTCTGGATGAGGCACGTTCTGGAAACGCCGGGCATCCAGCCGGGCACTCCTGGCATTTGGACCAGATAATTCCGTGTCTCGGGGCCGTCCCGACGCCGCAGGGCGTCTAGCAGCTTCCCTGGCCTCAGTTCTATGAAATCCTGTGGCTCCAAACAGGTTCCTCGCAGCTTCAACCTCTCTCGAGTAGGAAAACTGGGCTCTCGAGGGCGCTTTGGGGGAGCAAAGAGCCGTGGACCGTGCTGAGCACACCTAGGCAGTTCCCAGCAAGGGCCCCGAGTTGTCCAAAGTGAACGGGACCCAGCGACCCTTCTCGGGGGACCCGCTGTGAAATCAGCTCTGATTCCAAACACCCAGTTATGCCTCAGGAGGACAGTTAGTGCCTCTTTTCCCCTCTTTCTCATTCAAATAAAATTATTTTTAACAACAGGGTATAACTGTCTTTACACTCAATAGTGCGGACTGCACATCCGTGTGTGTGCACAAACACAGCCACTATAGTTACACGTATTATATACCATGTCTGTCGTGTATGTTCAGGTGAGATTTATTCCAAAAAAAATGGACAGTCTAGAGATCAAACGTGGCTTAGCGGTTATCTCCAGGTGTGGAGTCATGAGGGGGTTTTTCCTCTTTATACTCTGGTTTTCCAAGTTTCTTTTATTGAGCATGTATGATGTTAAAAGTTAAGTAGATAAAAATTATTTTAAAAAATTTTTCTGTGTCACTAAAATTAAAAAAAAAAAAACAAACAGCCTCTATCCCGTGTGTTTCCTCTTTTTTGTACGAGCGAAACCTTCCGATGCAGGGCTCTAACGGGATGTGCCTGGTCACAGAGGCCCGGCTCTGCTTTGGGACGTTTTGCAGGAGAGCTGGGCCCGGGGAGCCCGCGCTGCCTCTGCACAGTGGCGCCGGCCTCTCTCATCGCTCACTCCTACCTCGGCTCAGCCCTCCGGGGAGACGGGGCGGCCTGCGTTCACTCACACGGCCTTTCCGACCCCTCTGCTCCAGGGGCCTCATGGGGCTTTGAGAAACAGCGAGAGGCTGCCCAGGAGCCTGGGGCACCAACGCAGGCCATGGGGTCCCTGGGGGAGTGCTCTGGAAGGCAGGTGGACGAGTGAGTCCAGCTTCCACGCGTCCCACTACCTGCGTGACTTAGTGCCACAGCCCACTCAGACGCCCCGGACCTTGCTCTTCTCATCAGCAAAATGGGAATAACACTTGCTGGAGATCACATGAGACAATGCACGCCAAGCGTGGCATCAGGCTCAAAAGGGCGCCCTGAATGGCAGATACCATTGTCATCATGGAGAACACCCAGACCACGGGGGCAGTACGGGTTCTCAACCCTGCTGTACTTTAAAGTGCCTTGGGGAGCTTTTAAGAGATTCTGAGGTCCAAGGCAGGATAGTATCCCCTCGTGAAATTGCCTCTGCTCCGTACATTCCACTTCCTTTCCATCCCCAAATCCACGTCTACGCTTCCTTCTCATTGCCTCAAAACCACCACCTCCAGGAGGCCCTCGGCAACTTCTCCCCTGCAAACTGGAGTTCCTTCAACAACCAAATCTGATTCAGAATTTATATGGACTGTGTCGCCAAATGTTAAACTTTTCATTTAACATTCAATGGACTCAAGGGCCACACTACAAACTAGTTTATAGTACTGGGCCACCAGAAACGGGTGGAGGTATCTGGATATGTGCACAAATTTCCCTGGCATGTTCAGCGCTCACGCTTGCTTTCTAGACTTTTCTGTCTGTCCTACCTTCAATAGTTACCACATGCTGCTTCCTCAGTGTGAGCTCCCCAAATCGCCCCAGCCTCCTCTCTGATCTGGGCTGAGAAGGGAGATAAGCCTGACCCCTGAGGGTCTGACCCTGCACCTGCGACTCCAGTCCCTGCTCTTTCACAACCACGGCGCCTCAGCGTGCATCCGCTTGCCCAGCCGGGTGTCTAGGGAGTCTCACATTCGGTGTTTCACTGAACTCTTCCAGGCCTGGAATAAATGCAGGTTTTCAAATCAAGGTGCAGGCATGGAAGCCGCGTTACCTGGTCCTGCAGTTTCTGGAACATCAGAGGATGCGGTTCTTCCAGGATCTTTTCGTTGAGCTGAGACTGCCCCTCCACGTTGACTTGTGAGGAGGCCTTGCTGGACAGAAAGGTCGCGTAGATCTCCTTCGCCTTTTCCTGCATCTGGAGGAGACACAGGGGCCTGTTTGTCATCTGCGAGCACAGCCTTCCCGGCCTAAGCCCTGCAGCCCCCTCCGCCAGGCCCAGGAGGGGCTGCTGCGGCAAGAGGGGGCCCTCGCTGCCACCCCGGGGCGAAGCTCTGCCTGGGAGGCCAGTGTAACTTCGCCCCTGGCCCTCGTGCATCTGTGGGCGCATGTCCTGCAAGGACAGGGCTACGCCAACCACGCAGAAATGACGGCAGAAAGAACCCCGGCCCACACCGAGCACACGGTACCACTCGGGACCATCCTGTGCATTCTCCAAACTGTGGGCCCCGGGTGGGAATACCATTCAGTCATAAAAGGAACGAAGCACTGACATGTGCTACAACAGGGATGAACCCTGAAAACGTGACAGTAAGTAAAAGGAGCCTGACACACAGGGCCACATACGCGGTCTGATTCCACTTACACAAAACGTCAGAATGGGCAGATCCGTAGAGACAGAAAGGTTAATGGCTGCCAGGGGCTGGGGAGAGGGAGAAATGGGGAGTGACTGCCAATGGACAAGTGCGCTTCTGTTGGAGGTGACAGAACTGGATTGTAGTGACGGCTGCACAACATTGTGAATATGCTTGATGCCACTGAGTGGCACACTTTAAAACAGTAAAAAGAACACTAAAAATGTATTAAAATGGTGAATCTCATGTTACGTGTACTTTACCACAATAAAAAAAGTCAAGTTGAACCACGCACACGTACCCCCAGCAGTTACCCAGCACCTGCTCGCTGCAGACCTGGGCTAGGTGCGGCCCCACATCCTCAATCCCCTGGACATCCAGGAAAATGCCATTTTCCTACTAGCACCACTTTCCCGATGAGCACACAGGGGTCAGGAGAGGTGACTCGGCTCATTCGAGGAGCCTGCAGGGAGACTCGGGGCTGTCCAGCTCCAACGCCTTTCCGTTCCGCTCAGTTCCACCCCCTGGAGACACACGAGCCCTCCAGGTTGTGCAGCCTGTCGGCCATCCAGGGCACAGTATTTCTCGCTCAGGTAACAAGAACCTGAGTGGAAGCAACGGCGAGAGCATCCGAGGCCCGCCCTGCGGTCCCAAGCGCAGTCCTGCTGGGAAGGCCGAGCCCTAAGCTGGCACCGGCTGCCTCGTGCATCGGGGGGCAGAGTGGAAAGACACTGCCCATCTGACTCGGTTCCACCCAAAACCAGCCGTGGCTGTCTCAGGAACACGGTGACGGGGAGAAGGACGTCACGGTAAGTACTTAGTCTTCAAAGCGGCGTGCTTCACAGAGGGGCTGAAGAACAGGAGCCCGCTCCTCTGGGACTTCCCCTGACAGGTCTATTTTCTTTTAAAGAAAGGAGACTTCCTGTGCACGTACCTCGCTGGCAGCAGAGATGGGGGCTGTCTCCCTAAACGTTGGCGTCTAAAGCTTACCTTACCCTACAGAGCAAGGCAGGTGCTAAAGGCCAGAGATGCGGCTGCACAGCTGGGGTGTGCGGGCAGAGGCACGGGGGTGGGCGGGGGCCTGGAAAACTGCTCCTCTCTCCAGAGAGCCCACCTGGGGCTCTGCCTGTGCTGCAGAGCTTGGCTTAGGAAATCCCAGGCTCAGAAAACCTCCTGGCCTTATGGCTAACTGGTGCCTAAAAGCAGAGAAAAGTAGCCCTTATTTGGTTCTGAGGACTGATGACAAAAGACCCTAAGAGGCCACAGCCCGGCCACCTTCTGCTCTCCTGAGCAAGTGAGCCTTGCCAGAGCTCGCAGAAGCCTGCCCAGGTGGGACCAACAGGCCCAGCTTCGGTGCCCATTCTTTCTTGACCATGACCGTGACCGTGACCGTGAGTGATCAGCTGATGTCAGCATCGAGGACCATGTACGCGCATCCCCAGCAGTTACCCAGCACCCGCTCGCTGCAGACCTGGGCTAGGTGCGGCCCCACATCCTCAATCCCCTGGACATCCAGGAAAATGCAATTTTCCTATTAGCGCCACTTTCCTGATGAGGACACAGGGGTCAGGAGAGGTGACGCGGCTCATTCGAGGAGGAGCCTGCGGGGAGACTCGGGGCTGTCTGGCTCCAACGCCTTTCCTGGAGCTCCTGGAGCCTCTTGAGATAAACGTGGCTGTCCCAGGGGACGGGTCTGGGCACCGTCAGCGAGAGCCTGGAGCAGCTGCCGTCTGGACCCGCTCGCCTCTGCAAGTCCCATCAGCTCCACAAAGCTGTGAGCCCCCCCGCCCCGCCCCCATGTGTCAGGAAGGAACATTTTTGGAAAACCACTTCCTGTTTGAAAGCTACTTCACGAAAGTAGAATTTCAGCCAGTCAGATGAGCAAACTCCATGCAGAGCTCTGTGGGCAGAAGTCACTTTAGGCCTCCCTGCCCTTGAACGTTAACACACACACATGCACACACGTGTGCACACTGACCCGGTGAATCCAGGCTGTCGTGCATGGTTCTGAAACAGAGAAGCGCAATGAGTGTCTCGAGGCTTCGCGGTGGGGGTGCAAGGGGAGAGGAGGCAGGTCTCGGGGGCTGCAGGCAGACGAGCCTCCGGGTGTCCCAGCCCTGCCCTCTCCCGCCAGAGCCCGAGGACAGCGTGGGTCCCGAGGCGCCGGCTGCGCAGACGCACGCCAGGCGGCCGCAGCAGCAGAGCTTATCTCGGCGGGCTAGGAAGCATGACTGAAAAGGGAAACCCTGAGACTGCCGACCGCAAGCCGGTCACGGGAAGGCCCGGTGGTGTCCAGGCCGAGAACGCTTAACAAAAAACAAGAACCAGTCTCTTGGGCTATTTTGGTAGATTTTTCCAGAGCTTTGTTAACCCTATTCTAGCAAAGAACAGAACAGTGACCCACTGGTGGAGTCCGTTGTGGGTCTGTGACCTGGAAGGACGGCGGGGCCGGCCACGGCCAAGGCCAAAGGGCCCCACCCTCCCTTCGGAGACCAACGTGCCCAGAACCCAACCCGGCCCCAGCAGGTGCTGGAAAAGGGCCTCACCTGGGCCCATCAACTCGGGGACTGCCCGTGGGAGCGTCACACCCAGTGAGCTCCTTCCAGACACCCCACAAGTCTGGGCCTTTCTTCTAGGCCTGGCAATGCCAATGGGACTGCCAATGAGATTGCCAGTGGGACTGCCAGTGGGACTGCCAGTGGGACTGCCAGTGGGACTGCCAGTGGGACTGCCAGTGGGACTGCCACTGGGACTGCCAATAGGAACCGCACCCAACCAGGGCAGGACTCAGGCGCAGCAAGCCAGACGAAGAGAAGAGCGAGGCCGGCGGCAGGAGCCACTAGACCCCCAGGTCCTCGAGTCCCACCCGACCCTGAGCCGCCAGGGGACTGTGCATCACCCCACCCCTCCAACAGGAGGCTGGAGTTTTCTTTCCTAAAGACATGGACTCAGGAAGGCTCCAGAACAGAGGCGAGGAGGAGGGTGGTGAGACGCCAAACTCAATAAAGGGACTCAGGGAAATTCCAGATGCGGACCCCACCCCCAGCAAACTCCTCCAGACCCCAATACATTAGTTTATGAACATATGGGGCTCGAGGCCCACCAGGACAAGACTAGAGGGCCCTTGTCTGGAAAAACAAAAAACAAAAGCAGAAAAAATTCAACAGAAGGATTTGAAGATAAAATTGAAAAATCTCCAAAAGTCAAAAATGCAAGAAAATAGGAAGGAAAAAAGATAAAATGAAAGGCTCAGTCCAGGGCTGAGGGGCCATCACTGGAAAAGAGACCAGAGGAAAGAGAAGGAAAAAGGATACTGCAGCAATAACAATAACAGTAACAACTTGGGAGCACGTCCCAAGGCTCCCAGACCCCAAGGCTCCGCGGAAGGAACACGTGCACAGTGAGCCAAGCCGCCCCCCTCCAAAGCCCCACTGTCCTTTTGGAACATTGAGGATGAAAAGAAGATCCTGTACTATTCCTGAGAGAACAAAAGCAAAACAAAACCATTTACCTATAAAACACTCACTTGTAACAAAAGCAAAGGACAAGGAAACAATGTCTTCAACATTCCCAGAGAGTCTCGCCCTAGAATTCTGTGCTCAATGAAGTGGGAAAGTAGGAAAAAAACATTTTCACCCAGCAAGGTCTCTACAGGTCTCCCAGCCAGGTCCCCTTTCTCGGGAAGCTATTTCCTGCCGCCTTCCATCCACCACTATGAGGGAACAGGGGACGACTGGGCACAGAAAAGGCCCGGGACCCAGGAAATGCCCATCTCCTGGGGGCGCAGAGGAAGACCTGGCATGACCCAGGGGGAGCCGGGGCAGAGCGTTTGTTTTAGAAGACAGACATATTCATGGGGAAGACGCACTTTGTAGAAAAAATTTAAACCATAAAGAAATGGCCAAGGGAGAGAACTGCTTTGAACAAAAGCCGACTGCTGAATAGGGACACCTGGGCGGTATAGCCCCTGCAGGGCCCCCAAGTCGGGGGTGGGACGCGCCACCCTCCCGATTTCCTGAGTCTCCAGCATCCCTGCCATACACGCAGAGCGCGGAGACCTTCACAAACTGAGGGACGGTTTTTCTCGCCTGCCGGAGGCGGCGCCCAGGCCGCGGAGGACAGCTAGGACGCGGCACTTGTGGGGGTAAAGCCCCCCGCCGCACAGAGGACGGCAGGCCCGTCCCTCAAGCCCACGGCTGCGGCCGGGCTGCGGCACAAGGTGAGGACCCTGCCCGGCGAGTCCTCGGTGCCGCCAGCCGGGCGCAGGGAAGGCCCGTCCTACCCGGAGGAGCGGGAGCAGGTCGTGTGCCAGGCAGGGGCCGGGCAGCGGGAGACGACAGAGACGCCCACCTCGGAGCCCCCGACAAGGGGAAGGACAGACAGCTGGGGAGACAAATGCACAAACGACACAAGACACTCGCGGGCGGTGCATGCTGGATAATCCTCGTAAGAGAATGAGAAAACACACCCACACGGGTTCTCCCTAAAACAGCGGGGCAAAGGCGAGATCCGCGTCGCCACTGCGGCCTTCGCTGGCTGTAGACAGAGATAAGCCCTCCCAGGCTCGCGAGCACAGACGCGCAGTGAGGCGCCTTCTCCCGGGGCCTGCGTCCTCCTCCCCTTCTGCAAGTTAGCAACCTGGAGGCTTCTCCCTGGTTTTACTTCCCAGGCAGCCAGGCCCACGAAGGAGGCCGGGTCTGAATGCCGGCTCCGTCTGCAACTGGCCAGCAGCCGCTCGACCTCTCAGATCACACCCCTGCACCCGTCACACCCCTGCACCCGTGAACGGGGACAGTCTCGAGGCTCAGCGCGATGACCCAGACTGGGGCCCTGCCGGCACCGTCTGCGTTCCCAGGCACCAAAGCGACCACCAGGCACGTTCCAGGCCTGCGGCACAAACCTTCGAGAAGTCCTGTGCTGGGTGTCAGGGCGGGGGTGGGTGTGGAAAGGGGCCGCCCGATTCTGGGAGCTCTCTCTGCAGGACGTGGATGGGGCAGGGCAACCCAACGCCGGACCTGCCTGACCTCAGAGGCTGGCAGAGGCAGAGCTGAAAGCCTTACCCTCTCCCAACGGCCTGTGCACACCATTAAAGCCCTGCAGGGTGTCCCCGCCCCCCCCACCTTGGCTCTAGGTTCCCAGGTGCAGCTGCACTGGGCCAGCTGCGGGTCTTCCCCAGGCCCATCACCACCTGCCCGCCTGCCCGTGTGCGCCAGCCCCTCCCCCAGGGACACCACTCCCCCCACCCCCACACCAAGTCTCAGCTGAAAAGTCACTTCCCCTGGGGGCCCTCCCCAACCACCCACTGACTGGCTCCCACGACCAGCCCACACTTCCCATTTCTATGCTCGTCACGCCTGCCAAGGCCTGTTCCCCTCACCTGGCTTGTCCCTGTGCCTTCTCTGCAAGGATTTGGGGGATTCAGCTGAACTAAGGCACACGGCAGGCAGCGGGCTGTGCAGAGAAACAACAGCACAACCTCAGAGTGCTGACCCGAGTCCCAGCTCTGCCTCACTTCCCGGTCTACACCGCAGGGCTGGGCCAGCCCACCTGCAGCCCCTTCCCAGCTCTAGCACTCAAAAGAACAAGGCAGACGCACGAACATCTGTTCACCTGCTGACCTCCAAGCCAGGAGTGTACAGTGAGCCTGGCCCCAGTGGCTGCTCAGCCCAGCACTTACTGATGGTTGTCCCTGGGCCCGTCCTGGGTGCTGGGGACAGAGGAAAACAACGAGGTTCCTCCCCTGCAGGACCTCAGCCCCAACCCTCCCATTACAAAGCAGGCCCACCTGCTCTCACCACCCACGAGGCTCCAGCCAAGGCCGGCCAGATGGAGAAGCAGCCAGAGCCAGAGCCACGCCCAGCACAGCTTTCTAGGCGGGCCTGGGAAAGAAGGTGGGAGGGGGAGGCCAGGCTGCCCCACCCTGGGGAAGTGTGCCAGGGCCTAGAGGAGCCTTTGAATAAACCATGAGATGCATTTTCCCAGCTGTTGTCTGCAAACACTCACTGGCTGCTGGACCCCGGATTCCGGGTTTTGGAGACAGAGTCTCAAAAACGGGCAGCCCACAAGCTCCACCCACCCATGGAGATGTTTTGTTTGGCAGGCAAGGTTTGAAATTTTAAAAAAAATTAGTTCCAGTATTTAAAAAATCGGATTGTTTCACATTAAGAATCCAAACATCCAGATTCTCTAGAAAACAGGCAGCAGCGGGCTGAAGATGAGGGAAGATGCCTGTGAGGGAGGGGCCCGAGGGTGGGCACGGGAAGAGTGGTGGAGACAACCCCAAGCAGGAGCAGCCCCGCCAGCCACAAGCCCTGAACAACCAGCTGTAGCCCCTGGAGGCCCCAGTCCCCACCACTCCCTGCAGCCTCACCCCAGGCGCCTCGCTGGCTGGTTCACACTACCTACTGGCGCTGCAGGCATTTGGCCTCTGCCCTGTTAGAAATTCCCCTAATCTCATCCACCTCCCTTACTCCCAACTTCAATAACAGAAAACCCAGCTGACATCAGGAATGAAAAGCTACCTGCATACCATGAAATACTACTCAACTAGAAAAAACAGTGGTGAACTAGCACCTCTTATATTATCCTAGATAGAGCTTGAACCCATTCTCGAAGTGAGGTATCATAAGAATGGAAAAACAAGCACCACATGTACTTGCCATCAAATTGGTACTGATTAACACTAAGGTGCTCACATGGTAGCAATATTGATTGGGTGCCCGTCAGGTGTTAGGGGGGAGGGGGCGGGTAAACTCACAACTACTAGCGCACTGTAGGGGGGAAGGGCTTGCTTGTAGACATGGCTTTGGCAAGGCAAAGGCATCGTACGTAACCAAAATTTGTTTGTACCCCCATAATATTCTGAAATTTAAAAAAACATGCAAAACAACAGCAAAAAAGAAAGAAAGAGAGAGAGAGAGAGAGAGAGAGAGAGAGAGAGAGAGAGAAAGAAAGAAAGAAGGAAAGAAGGAAAGAAAGGAAGAAAGAAAGAAAGAAAGAAAGAAAGAAGAAAGAGAGAAAGAAGAAAGAGAGAAAGAAGAAAGAAAGAAAGAAAGAAAGAAAGAAAGAAAGAAAGAAAGAAAGAAAGAAAGAAAGAAAGAAAGAAAGAAAGAAAGAAAGAGAAAGAAGAGAGAGAGAAAGAAGAAAGAAGAAAGGAAAGAAGAAAGAAAGGAAAGAAAGAAAGGAAAGAAGAAAGGAAAGAAAGAAAGAAAGAAAGAAAGAAAGAAAGAAAGAAAGAAAGAAAGAAAGAAAGAAAGAAAGAAAGAAAGAAAGAAAGAAAGAAGGAAAAAGACAAGCTACATCCTGGCTGAGCATAGTGGTTTAGGCCTATAATCCTAGCACTCTAGGAGGGTGAGGTAGGAGGATCGCTTGAGTTTAGGAGTTTAAGACCAGCCTGAGCAAGAACAAAACCCCATCTCTACTAAAAATAGAGAAATTAGCTGGGCACGGTGGTGCACACCTGTAGTCCCAGCTACTTAGGAAGCTGAAGCAGAAGGGTCACTTGAGCCCAGGAGTTTGAGGTTGCTGTGAGATATGATGACGCCACTGCACTCTAACCCAGAACAAGAGCAAGACTCTGTCTCAAAATAAGTTAATTAATTAATTTAAAAAAAGAAAAGAAAAAGACAAGCTACCTCCTGCAAAGAGCACACATCTACCAAAGAGAACAGTCAGAAATTTTCTTTGTAGGATGCCTATGGGCTGTTTTGTAAAGATATATTGAATAATTGACATTCTATCTGATGTATGTTGTACTTTTATCATTACACATCTGCATATTGCTTTACAATGTCCAAAAATGCTAACATATCACATTCCAGGGGAAACATCCTCTTAACTTATTCATGATGAAAAAAATCGTACACGATGATGAACTCTAAATGACATAAATTGTTATTTTTATTTTAAATACTGGTCCATTCGAACAGCTCCATTTAAAAATAGGTTAACTGTTTTTAAAATTATTATTTGATCAATACCAGATACCAGCTTAAATCTTTCCTCAAATACAATATTATTCAGGTTTCTTTAGTCAATTTCAAAATCTATTAGAAAGACAGTTGTGACTTTACAAGAAAAGGGAAAAAAAATCATCAAGAAAGTGATTAGAGTG